CAGCCGTAACCGCTGCGGGCATTGCATGCTGCTCTCCTTGCTCACGGGAAGGTTTCTACCTCCCTTCCCTCCCGCAAAGACACCCCTCGATAGCCATCTCAGTCCGCACACGCCACTTTGCAAGGTCTTGCACCTCACCTGAGCAGGGCAGGAGGCAGGTAAAGGAGACTTTGACCCTTGCTGCCTGCCTCTGCGTGGGGAGGGGAGCGCTACTCTCAAGAATAAGGCGTATATAGACGGGGCTGTGACATCCAACCTTTCCTATAACACCATCTCCCTTGGTGGTCTCTGCTCTTGCCAGAAAGCACTATTGTGAACTAATCGTGCTTGTGGTATTACATCATATCATACTACAAAAACATTTAAAGTATTTAACATTTAACATGACCAGCACAATTCAGAGATCCCATCCGATACGGTTTTGTCTCTAAGCACACGTCTTCTACCTGGCTCATTTTCAACACAGTGATCTGCTAACACACACTGCAAATTGCCCCATGCTTATCTATCACACCCTGAGTGTCCAGCACTTCCTACGTTCCCATAAATAAGTCGGGGAATTAATCAGTCTGGCTCAAGCGCGCACTTGCCTCCTCTTTCCTGTTCCTGCTTGCTCTGAATTTGTGTGTTACACAATTCATGGACAGAACAAGATAAACCAAATTAACCCCCTGTCTTTGATAAAGCGTGTCATATCCGTTGCTCTCCCAGAGCAAGGAAATATCAGCGGCACTCCTGGTTGTCTCAGTGTCTTAGTCAGTCTAATGCTTCCAATTTCAGCGGTGCACCTCCAATTACATGCCTACACCTCTAGGGAGGGCTGGAATGAGTCACTCTTTACGAAATACCTGTCAGAGTAATAATTCGTATATCAGTGGATGAAGTGTCACATGAACCGCCCAACCCTATGAACAAACCAAGTATTTAAGGGATTAAATAAGTACGTGACAAATCATTGTGGCAAACCGCAGTTAAAGACGTTATTGCAGATACAGAAAATGTCAATGGGCGCCAGCTGGGCTGCAGCCTGAGCACGATTATTTCTCTTGGAATTCCCCACGTGGACCCCTTAAAGCGCAGTTCTCTGCGGAGACGTGCTTTGCCTCAGTTTTCCTTGCTCTCTGCCTTTCTCACTGCACAGGCACAAAACCTGCCTTCCAAGTGGTGAATATGAAGTGTCTAGGGGGTATAATGCCTCTAATAGCCCAATAAAATCTTGTAACTGGAAAGCTATACGTAGCTACATATAAAAGCTGTATGCATTAAAAGGGAAGTGTTATTTTTAGGCGTTTTTCACATTGCTTTAAATACATTTTTAAATCTTGCAAAATGAGGGAGATCAACACAGAAGCGTGCAGCCTCTTCTACAGAAAAGGCGACAGAATCGGAACAATTTACTCTAAGCTACAGAGAGAGGGAGCGTCAGAACCAGGACGTAAAAACACTTTCTTGTTTTTTTTTTTTTTTTAAAACTAGCTCCACACCGACATCCCATTTTGCTTCCTTATTTCAAAGGAAGCCTAAACTGAGCTTTGCGGTTTTCAAATTCTTCGGACAGGCAATTCTTATCACGCAGTTCTGCTTATTTCATGCCGGCAGTGCCATTGCTAATCATATTGGCCAATCAAACTTTTAGAACCAAGAGCTAATAATAAAACATTCTGGGAAATTAAACAAACAGAGGAAACATACAATTATTGCTGACAACGACACCCCAGCTGAAAACTTCATGCACAGGTAAAACACCAACGTATATTTTGGGAACGCAGTAAAAGCTCAATATGCGAAAGGCAAGAAATTATTGTGACATTGCAGCGTTAGTGCAGATGAACAGAGCTGCCTGTGTCAAATTAGCACCAAAATGCTACATCTTTCTACAAATATACTTGAAAACCATATGCGATCCTTGGAACAGAGATCAGAAATCCAGGTTACGTATTTCAAAAGTCTCCCGAATTATTTTAATGTCATTCCTTACCCATGCCAGCTAACTCTTCTGCTTTCATTAATACCAAAATCTCTTGGAGTTAAGGAGCTGGGTAATTTCTTTACTTAAACTGAAAACCGAGCCGATGCAAAACCAGAGACGAGTCCGTCAAAGCTCTCTTGTAGCCTGGCGCGATTCCCCCCTGCCCCCAGCAGCCAGCCAGGTTTTGTTCTGACATAGCACAGAGCACTCAGACGTCCCAGTTAATTTTATTTCTGCAACCAGTTGGCTAAAAAACATTTGAATAGCACACGCTCCATCTATTTGGAGATGAAAATGAGACATTGCATCGAATTTTTTAAGTTCTTTTTAGCATTAGTACAACTACAGAGATACTTCTCAAAGCATGATTTCCACGGACCACGTAGCTGACAAATTTAGGTACTTCAGGAATGCTGCTGAGCTTGATTCTAGCACACAAAATAAAATAAAAAAAGCTTTAAAATAAATGACAAAACGACAACTGCCTACTCAGGACTAGCTTGCATGGAAGTGGCTTTCTAGAACACACAAATCACAATAGGACTCATTCACGCAATGAAAATTAACAGCTAAACAGTAATTGAAGCCTGACACTTTTACCAATCCTTCCTGAGAGATAGTTTTTAATAAATTCTGCACAGGGATTCCCAAAGATACAGAAGTAAAGATTTGAGGGAAATAGATATCACGTGAACACAAGAACCAGTCTACACAGGCCAATTAAAAGTGGCATAATGTGGGTTACTGAGAAATTGTCAGGAACATCCAGTGTAGCGCATCTGTGTGACCTACCTTAACTTCGAAGTGCCTGTTGTGATTTTGCGTAGATAAGCTCATGATGATTGCCTTTTTAGACAAGCTTTAGGATGTAAATACTCTTTCGAAACAAGGGAAAAAATCTTTACCTTCCAAAATTTTCTGAAGCCATCACAGCCCAAGCTTTTCCACAGCGTGGCAACCGCTAACAGGCGTTCATTAATCCCATAAATACCCAGCTTTACACCTGCACGCTATCCTGCATTTTGAGCCTACTACTACGCTTAACATAGAAATACCTGAGCATTTGCCTGCAGTGCCTAAGCAACATAACTAGCATCTCTAGCATCTGTTGTAGAGGGTTTTTTTTTTTGGTGTGTTTTTGTTTTTTTAAGCACACCTACCTCCAGGCAAAAAGCACATGTAATTGAGTGATGTTTCTTGTTTTTTTAAGAAGGTTTAATGAGAGTATTACATATTAATGAAAATAAAGGCAATGTGGAAGAAGTGCACTGGCTTGCCTGGTTAGATTATTTTTTATTTCAGAAAAAATAAGACAGGCTTTCTCTAGCAGAATTTTCAATGACTGATTTCATTCCTTCCACTGCTAAGGACAGCAAAGGTCAGGTCAGAGAACATCAGGGGAAGTTGTGTTCACCCATCTGGCACAGTACAGCCTGCAGAAAGGGCAGCCAAGATGACAAGTGCCAACCTAGTTTTCTTCCCAACTGAATCCATCTGCTTCTTTCTGACACATAGAAACCTTTGCTACACTTTTCAAAGGGGCTCTGTTTCTCACAGAAGATACTGAATTCCTAAATGTACATCTCACCAAAACCGCATCTTGCAACAGTGCTTGTGCATCAACTTAATCACCGTGAGGACAGGGGAGTTAGGGACCCAAATACGGACAGCTGTCTGAAACACTTCTCCTGCTGTCCCTCCCTTCCCAATATAACAAAAAAAAAGTATACAACTTTAAAATTGATTAGCATGAAAGCAAGTACAAACAACATCTTACAGTGTACTGTGACTGCAGTTAATGGCTCATGAATTGCCTTGTTTAAGGAATTAATAGATTATTTCTTCCAGGTCAGTTATTGTAATAACAAAGTACTGATAGTAAATCATTTACTCCCCCTTTTTTTCCCCACATTTCTTATGAGGTTATTACAGAATTCCAAGTCAGTCCATTTCAAATTTTTGAGGAAAACAGTCAAGCATACCAATACAGTTTCAGGGCAGTTGGCTCTGCCGTAAAGGCATCACTAAAATGTCGGCCCAGGAATGTTCCATCAACCTCTCTGAGATGCAGTCACAGTCATGCTCAAGTATATAGCTTCTGTCTTTTAAAGCTATTTTAAATACAAAACCAATCAATTTTTTTAAAATTAGCCATCATTTGGTCAAAATTTGCTTTATTTAGAAGGGGGAAGCATTAAAAGATATACTTAGATAACCTCAGGGCATGGCAAATACTGGTTCTGTACTCCAGGGCCAATTATCTCTCTTACTCACAGGGCCAACCTAAACATGTCCTGATGCTTCCAAAAGCACTGTGCCTTAGATACTGAAGTATCAGCAACATGACTCCCTTGAGGGTGCTGCTAAGCCTAGCAAGTCATGCCATCTCTGAAATTTGCAGTTTTGAAGTTCTTTGCCTGGTTTAATACTGAATGCACTGCTAAACATTTCACTTACCTAAACTTTTGAAGTCATAGTACAAAGTAGCAGAATTTTGGCCTTAAAGGCATGTTTCTTCTAAACAAAGACCAACACATGGAATTTTCTCACTACCTAGGATTTCTCTAGTGTCACAACGAAATGGGCAATAGAACATTTTGTCATCAGTTTTCCCACTGCCACCCGCTTTGGACAACTGTTCAACCTTAAGTTCTTTACTGCAAACTATGATACAAGCATAATAGCAGATCCTATTGCATTTAAAATGTTCTTATTTGTCTCTGGAGCCCCAACACAAACAATAGTAGAACTGAATAAATAAGGCAGTAATTATTACATTTTATCTTTCATTTCCTTTACCGGAAAAAGGGGCAAACTAAATTCACATAAAAAGATCAAATTTTAATCTTGTCCATACACTGGTTACCAATTGGCTTGCAAGTCT